AGTTTTGGTATTTGTACCAAACTCATTTCGATAATGATTCCAAAGAACTTCAGCATCTCTTCATTAGTGGTTGGTTTCCATCGATGAAGTATTGACCGTCTATTAATCTCATGGTTTTGCAAGTATTGCTGCGCGTATCGATTAGTCTCACGAACTATGAGGTCAATAATTTCGTCCGTTATGAAATGCCGATAGCAATCGATAGGATTGATTGTATTATCGCCTGAAATAGAAGTTACTTCTCCAATGAGTCCATGATCCTCCAGAAATTCTGCGTCGGATTCTGGTTCTATTTCATTCCAAGTATGTGAATCCATGTCATCATCAGTACCTTCTTCATTAGAATCGTCAGATTCAAGGTACATTGCATCAAAATCGTCATCCAGAGGGCTCATTTCACCGAGTGACCTAGCGCTATCTTCTGTATCCATTTCTTCAAACGACATGTGAATTATTTCAAAACTCCGGTCGTATTTATAAACAAAACTATAGAGAGCGAAGAATAAGGGAGAAAAAGCTGGAAACTTCCTTCTTTTTCTCGTGCATATTTTGTATAATATGGAAAAGAACGAAAAAGTAATCCGAGCGATTATTCAGTTCGGCAGAAAAAAATGACTCATTATGTAGTGATATAAAGAAGAGAACGATAAATAACCGTTAGAAGATAACAAAAAGGTCATTAAGTGTATTTATTAAAAACAAGTAACGCTCGTCTGTGTGACTCGCTTAACCCTCGACTGAATGTTTCACTGCATCAGCAGTTGTTTATTACTGCAGACATTTTGCAAAAGGTAGCATTGGGCATTTGCACATGGCTTTGTGCTAGTGTCAACATTAGTGTACACATGTGTCGGCGTGTATAATGCTATTGGTACCGTTGTAATACTGCTAGCTATAACATTCGTTCATTTAATCTGTTACTCTATCAATAACACTCAAAAGAAATCTGCGTGACCCACACTGACACAGCAATATCCTCAAACCACGAAAAAATAGTATATTCGATTTTCAGAGAAAATCAGCAGACAAAAAATATCAGCGTGACTGCAGTAAAGATGCACTACACTTCACGCAAACTGTATTAATAATGCGCATACTCATAAACACATAGGCGGGCAATATCGCTGACCGGTACCCACTACGAAAATGCATGTTTAGCGTAGCTATCAGACTAAAAAGCTATATTTGTTCAAACTAATATCCGGCATACGCAAGTTGAATCAGGCTTCAACTCTGAGTCTTTGTGAGATTAAATAACGAATTTTAAATAGCCGGAAAAAAATTTGACAAGTCAATGGGCAGATGACGTATCTATGAAGATAACGGATTATTAAATTCCATTCAAGTCCACTTTTGATGATTCGATGCAAATTGTATTATTGACGCTTTTCAGGAAATGTTCGATTCCGATATTGAAGATCTCCAACACACTCGTTCTCACACTTCATTCAAATACACTTGTTAACCCTCTTGCCAGTTCTTCCTCCCATGAATCCTAGTAAGATCTAAGTGCTAGAGATCCTTCCAATGGATTAGAAGTTTAAAAGAATTCTATTCAAAGGATTTTTTAGGGCAGCAGCTAGTCACTCGTCGGCATCCGAGTGGGTCGTCACGCGCAACTAATTGCTGTTATCCATCGTTCTCTTCCAGTAATTATATAATCATGCACTGTTATTTAAATTTTACTGGATTCTAGATTTGGATTAGTTTCAAAGCTGCCTATATTTATCGCATGAGAAATCCCAAAGTGAAAATACTTGTGAACTATTCCTTATGCGTTTCAATCCTTTACCTAGCTAGTCAATCTAAGATTTCATGGAGCTCGCCATCGAAAGAAGCTTAAGTATATGATTTCACACAAAAAACTAGCTTAATAGACCATATCTCATACCAAAAAAATTGTGAAATAGAAATAGAAGCTACTATATTTCAATGTCGGAGTTCCGACGTGGCGCTATTCACACTTAGCTACTACTATCTTTGAACACATATTCTCAAATGACTACTTTCTTATTCAAGGCATGACTAATCCACATTTCGACTGCTTCAAAAGCTTCTCTACTCGTAACTAAAGGGTACTAGATTTCCTATATCCAGCAAGATATCTATTAAATATATACGTGTCGTCTCTCGAGTTTCTCCATGTTTATAGGAGTCCTTCTCTACATAAAATGTCACATGTTAAGTCTCTGTGGCACTTTTTTAAGGACCTTGCTTGATGTTATGCAGAAATGTCGTAAAACAGATTTGAATAAACCTAGTTTAGAGGCAGCTATTCGTTCGCCGTCCTTCCGAAGGAACGCCATTCACGGCTATCCGCTACTTCCAGCTGCTTTCACTCACGAAAGGTTGATACCATTTTCAAAATCGAGCCATCGTTCCTATTTAAAAAACTGATGGAAAGTTTGATCCTTTACAAAAAAATTCATCCACATTAGAAATTTTCTTTGGAAGCTTATCAGTATTCAGGAAGAGGACACGTTAGTATAGATTTACCGATAATCTGAAATATTCTGAATAAGTGGACACAGCCGTTGTATCCTGTCAATCTAAATAATTTTTTTGCGTAACTCGCTCTCATTCCTCAATCTTTGCTCTACAAGCACTCTAATTTCATCTTATCTTCGTATTTCTTGATTCATTACACTACTGTCACGTATTACAAAGTACTTGCTGTTTCTCAACATCACTTCTCATAGAACGAATAGATTCGAGATCTGAATTTTGGAATCCTGATTCCAGATTCGGATTTCTCACCCTCGATAACCTCTAACAAAGTTCGATCAAAACGGCCAAAAGCCGTAAAATAAAAAAGTTCCTTTTTTGATTGACCGGTTTCCGACCAATGAAACTTCGGCCAAAGAAATGGCTTCGGATTCGGATTCAGGGCCATCGATAACCTATAGCAAAGTTTCATCAAATCGTCGAAAAGCCTTAAAATAAAAAAGCTGGTTTCTGATTGGCCGGATTTCACACAATGAAAGCCCGGCCAAAAAAATTGACTTCGGATTCGGAATCCTGGCCATCGATAACCTATAGCAAAGTTCACTCAAAACGACCAAAAGTTATAAAATGAAAAAGCTCATTTCTGATTGACCGATTTCTGACCAATGAAATCTCGGCCAAAAAAATGGCCTTCGGATTCAAATTCAGCGCTCTCGATAACCTATAGCAGAGTTCGATCAAAACGGCCAAAAGTCTCAAAATAAAAAAAAGTTCGTTTCTGATTGGCCGGTTCCTGACCAATGAAATCTCGGCCAAAAAAATGGGCTTCGGATTCAGATTCAGGGCCCTCGATAACCTATAGCAAAGTTCCATCAAAAAGGTCAAAAGCCTTTAGAATAAGAAATTTCGTTTCTGATTGGTCGGTTTTCAACTAATGACACCTCGGCAACCGAAATTGGCAATGGATTCAGATTCAGGGCCCTCGATAACCTATGGCAAAGTTCACTCAAAACGACCAAAAGTCTTAAAATAAGCTAACCTCTCTGGTATGTTCTTTTGACCCTGACACAAACGCACACGCATACAACCTTATTTTATTTCATATGACCCTCCCTACAGTCGAGGGAATTAACTGTCCATGAAGTTGAACATCTCGAAAAAATTTCTAAGAAAACTGAATCGGGTTGAATGGGTTAAACTCGTTTCGCAACCAATGGTTGAACAAAGAGTTCGTAATAAAATTCATATACAAATCCAAAAGGCTACTGCCTTTTGCTCCTTCATTAGTAAAATGTCTTAAATGGATAGAGGATTTTGATGTTTCAACCTCCATTCCCCTCATCCCTCCTGATGATCTCTGTCTACTATCCTTATTCCCCGGATCGTTTGTATGATTCGAAGGTATAGCAATGCCGCACGTTCTGATCCTCTAGGTCATAGTGGTTTTCCTTCCCTCTCATTCTTTCGTCCACTCACTTACTTCCTGAAACGAACGATCCCTATCCTGTTAAGTAACCAGTCCAACAAGTTTTTTTTTTGCCTTCCCTTCTTTCTTTTCCTTCTTCTTACAATTGCTATTATTTCTTCTCTTGTAGGCCTTGTTTTTTTTTCTTCTTCTTCTCGGCCGTAGTCTTGTTACGTGGTGTGTGTACGTGTTTACTTGCATTGTACAAATCTAATATGCCTCTGTGTGCGCCTTTCTCACTCTCTTGCGTTGTCCTTTGCTCCTATTTCTCTCTTCTCTGCCTTAAGTTGTTAACTAGTCATTGTATTTAAATCTGGGTGTATTATTAGGCCTTCGGGCATTAACTCTTAATAAAGTAAAAAAACAAACATCTGTCTTTCTATTGTAGATATATACATCTCTAATCGTGAAGAGTACTACCTTGTAATAGATACGAAACGCGTCAGCAAAATTAACTCTGCATTAATTTTTTAAACAAAAAATTTTAATTCAAGCATATTTTTTAAGTATTCAATATTTGACATGGAAAATCAGTTGCTGAAAAGCAAAAGTTGGGAGTAGCAGATTGATTTGTATTTTAGAAATATAGGTCGATCTGTTTCATATTGATTCGAGGACTATGTAAGCAGCAATCGAAACGCATCGTGTGATGCGTTGAACTTCAACATTCTTATATTTAATTTTATTTGAGAAGAAAATTTATTAAGAAAAATGATTCAAAGATGGTACATATTCGGGTCAAAAGATAGATCATGAGCGTCTGTGGATGCTAATGAGGATGGATTGAGTGTTAGTATGTGATATAAGAAGAATATTGGGTGTTAGTGTAGCGCTGGCATATGAATGATCTTCCATTATTCAAAATCATCTTCCCCTCTAAAAATTAAATGTAATGTAATCTAATTCTTTCACTCCTATTTGCTGCTCCTATTATACTTCTATCGGAAGGAATGAAACAAGAAATATATCAGCCATATAGATAGGTAGACGGTGATTTTGAAAAAGGAAGGATGAGAGGACAAGGAGGATCATTCACATGCCAGGTAGCGAAGTCGATTGGGTGGTGTTAGTTGAAAGTGTAGTTTTTCTACTAATAAGGCAAAGGGGCTGTTGGTAGAAGTTCATCAGAAAAACTCGACATGGGGTTGATGAACGGGAAATGTGTTTCAGTCGGTGGTATCATGTTATCTATGTTAGGCCTTGGCATAAATCCGTCAAAGCCAATCGGTTCATTATTTTGATCGCATCGTACCCGGAAAATAGCTTGAAGACGTTGTAACTATAGAAATAAAACGAACGATTAATTATTTGTGATTTTACTATATTACTGAATGACTTACAATGTGTGGACTAACATGTTGACGAGATAGTATGCTGAATAGTATTTCTTGTAGTTTTTTATCGTCAAGTAATGTACCATCATGCGGTTGTTCATAGGTCTCTGGGTTGGTCGGTATAGGTTGAGGATATTTTCGAATTTGGTGTTCAATGAGAGGTTCTGGATGAACATGCTCGATGATGACATCGCGTACCGGTATGGGGTTATGAGGAGGAGCTGGTACTACATCAACTTTTCTTGGAAATGAACGTTTATGATGAAGCCATCGTTCAATGATGATATCTCGAGGCTTAGGAGGACAAGGTCTATAAATATGATGGATGCGCTGTGCAGGTGGAGCAGGTGGAGTAGGCAAGCGCAAATAATCTACAAAGAAAAGTCAATTAGTGCAAAGAACTAAATCTTTCTGTTTCTCTACGTATATCATTGGTAGGAGCAGGTCGTGGTGGAGGCCGTTGACGTAGAATAAGTGGAGGCAGTGTAGGAGGAGGCCCAGGCCACGGACCATGTGTAACTATTGGAGGTGGAGCAGGAGGTGTAGGTGGACGTACTTCAACGATAGTCCGTGTCTATAATTAACAATATTGATGATATTAGATAGAATAAGAATAGAAGAAGAATGTGTATTTGAATGAAACTTACATCTGGTTCAATAGGTGGTGGTTCAAGACAACGAATGATGATATTTGGTTTATAAACTGGTACTGGTCCTATATGTATTCTCCTTTCTGGATTATGATCTATCGGATAGAGTGGATAGACAGTCGGTGGTGGTCTATAACCGACTTCACGGAACTGCTCTTCTGTGCATTGAGATACACACCTATGAGGAGGAATAAATTGTTGAAACGGTCCATAATCTCTCTGACCCATGTGCATTCCTTTAGATGCCACGTCTTCGTACTTCCATCCACGCTTGCCAGAATCAACTGTGTAGTAGCTATCCATAAGGTAGACCATGATTTTTTTTAATGAGAAAACGCTGAATGATGTGAAAACTGTTGATATGTACACCACTTTATATAGTGGTTATTTTATTTCGAAACAGTCAACGGAGAGAGTCTTTCTCTTTTTTCTACCTTTTCTCTGATTATTAGTGCGTATAATCAAAATTGATGAAGTTTTGATTAAGGTATAGACTAATGTATGTATGCATGTGTTATTTTGTTTTGAAAAACATCACTGGCGTCCTCGAAAAACGAACGAAGTCATCCTTGAATTGATCACTATTATATTGGAGATGATAGCGTACCTTCAATATATTTACATTCTTTCTCTCGTTACCTTTATTTGTCACGTATTTTGTGGGATTCACATAGATTTTTGCAGAAAATAGTAAATGTAAGTTTTAACTTCGAGTTTCGAGACTTCATTCCCCCACCCCTCTCATCTCATTACAAGTCTTAGCAACCAGAATTAGATAATGGATAAATAAACAAGTAAATATATACATAATAGTTTCATTTGCTATCTAAGTCAAAGCATATAATGAAAAAATATATAAAATTAAGAAAAATAAAAGCTTTTCAGTACAACTCATTTGAGGCTGAAATGTAGAACTCACGTATACCTCTCAATCTTATTAAGCTGATACATCATCTGTAAAGGTGTGAGAGTGAGTGTGGGTAAGTGAGTAGAGGTTTTTTCCTGACGCCCACACCCTCACACCCATATCGACACCCAACACCCACCATTTCTATATTTCGTGAAAAAATTGCTTTCATACGAGTGTAGAAAATATTTTAATTTGGTTCTTAATCCTAATTGAATTAAAGTGTCTTATGCCACCTGAAGAGATTCTTTAGCAAGATGGAAACCCGTGCTGGTATGCTCTTCTGTCTTAAGCCACCTAAGGAAACCCTTGAGAAAAGTCGAAACCGGTCGTGAGATGTTTGAGAAGCTCCTTGAGCAAACACGAAACCGATGGTGGTATGCTCACCTAAATTAACACCACAAATCTAAAGTTGTTATTTATTTACGTTTGAGTCTTAACATTCTCATTTAATTGAGCGAATTATGACTTGTATGTAATTATGGAATTCTAAACATACTTAGTGAGTGTCTTAAGCAAGGATAAAACATCGTGTCATGCGTTGAATTTCAACTCTATATTTATTATTACTTTGAAAATTAGTTTCATTACGTTTATGTGTTATAACTGCTTCATTTATTTGAAGAGTTTTGATTTATAGGTAACAATAGTTTTTAAAGATGCCTGATGAGGGATGTATAAATTGCAGTTGAAACACGTCGTATGATGCTTTCAAAATATTATCTTCTATAATTATCTAAACATGTCCGTTGAGTGTTTTAAACAAGGACGAAACACATCTCGTGTGCTGCTTTCAATCTCAAAACTAAATCTTAACAACGTTTATATTTCATTACTACTTGATTGATTTAACGAGTTTTGATTTATGTATCATGACAATTTGTAAACATGCCTGATAAGGACTGTGTAAGCAGTAATCGAAACGCGTCGTGTGATGCTTTCAAACTCTTATCTTCTATCATGATCTATACACAATTATAATTAAAAATATTATTTTAGACTACGTAGAAATTACTTTTTAATATGCGTTTTTTTTCTTATGTAGATGGTCATGGTCTACACTGCAACCTTGACGAAAAAAGAAAACTAAATGTTGATGAAATTTCGTTGCGTGGACATAGAACAGATTGCAAATTTCTAGAAACTGGAAACACATCAGTCTGTGTATGCTGATAATTACTCATATTTTTTTTAATTAGTTGATTTGACAGTGAACACATTAATATGAGCTGACTCAGATCAATCGCTTTACCTTACAGTACTGCATCTTTCACCCTATACTATATGATGTTCGTATTGTTTTTTTTTGTTTACTATGAAATACGCTCTGAAGTAAAGTGTGAATAGATACAAAAAAAAAACGAGATGCATATAATGCAAGTAGTGTGTAATTTTTTGTTTACATGTCAAACTCCACAAGATGTATCTTGTCTCTTGTTGCTCATATATAAATACAGTAACACTATGCAACTCTTTTTATACTTGAAACTAAACACAATATCAAGGTTTGTCCAAGTGAGATATAAGAATGGATAATAGACCATGTTATTTTGATGAGATAATTCGTTTGGATCCCTGTTATTTTTGCCCTTGTGAACCATGTGACGACTTTCGACGTTATCGGCGCCACCAGTTTGTTTTTCCATAAGGGCATATTAGACTCCATCCTCATAATCCAGGAAGAATCTTTTGGTCACCCTGGCAATTCATTTAAATGACAAGTCAAACAAAATATACCCTTGAACACTTTATTCTATATCTATCTATTGTGGTTTATTCTAATCAAGAAAAAGCATTCTATAATTTTCTTTTTGTTGTTTTCAATAAAGCTTAATGATATTAATGTCTATTGTATATAAAGAACACAAGATATCATTCAATTATGTGGATGGAAACTGATGGAGTAAGAGTTAATTTCATCGAAGCTCTACAACCAAGCACCATATCCGCACCCAAAATCACACACTCAGGCACACATAGACTTATTACGAAATAGCTCTGAACTTCTTCAAATTATTGATGAGTTTTGGACTTAAATATAATAACAGCTTGTAGGCATAACAAGCGATAGATCCATCATCAACGTCGCAACACATTCTACCAAACTTTCAATCTTAAAAATCTTTAACAATCTAAACATATCTCATCAGTGCGTTAAGCACGGACGATACATCGTATGATGCTTTCAATTTCAACTCTATATCTATTGTTACTTTGGATATAAATTTTATTACGTTTACAGTTCATAACTCTTTCATTGATTTGAAGACTTTTTATTTATGTGTCATTACAGTTTGTTAACATGTCTGATGAGGACTGTCTAAGCAGTAGTCGGAATGCGTCCTGTGATGCTTTCAAACTCTTATTTTCTACAATAAACTAAACATGCCCGCCGACAGCCTTGAAAAAAGACGAAACACGTGTCGTGTGACGCTTTCAATCTCAAAAAATCTTAATAATAATTTAATATTGTAATTTTCTAGTCTCTCTATAATTACTGATATGTAATAAAATGAATAATTATTTGTTAAATATCTCACTTGAGGAAGACCAAAAACGGGAACAGGAACTGGACAAAGTTGCGGTACTGGCACAGGACACAGTCGTGGAACTAGTTGAGGAACAGGAATACAGCTAAACAAGAAGTAAGCAAATAATTGTATTTCTACTAAGTAATCTACGTACATTGGTATATAAACAAGTTCGATGAGTATAGGAAATGGTACAGGGTATGGCTGTGCAACAGGTACAGGTATACACTATACAGATTAATAGAAAAAAGAATTATCAATGAGTTAAAGTTCGAAATTGTAGATAAAGAAAAAAAAACTTTTTTGTTTAGTGAAAAAATTAATGAAAAACAATTTCAAATTTTATACAGGAGTACTTATCCTTCAGAAAAAGAATGTTTCTTACTTGTACTTGGGTCGAGCAAACTGGAAATGGACAAGGTTGTCTATCAAAATGAACGAAAGAAGAAAAGTGATCAGTAGAATTTTGACATGTTTACAATGACAAAAGGATAACTTACGGCAATGGAATAGTTGATAGATGAGGTAAACATGGATTCATGCCACCAATTGAGACACCACCATAACTGGCCAAAGAACTATTATATGCATCTCGAAATGCGCCACGATAAGCATCCATTCCAGCATCACCTAATCCACCGAAACTAAACATTGTACTTGCACTGAAATTGTTAATGAAACAATTCATTTAAACTCTATAGCCTCTTACCAAGACTTGAACACCCAAAGATGCCCCTTAAAAGCTAGTACTGACGAGGGAAGTACCTGAAGTGTTCCCTCGACTTCGAGCTCATATTTTGCCCACAAGTAGATCTCAATGTCAATAGTCAAAGCCTAAAAGGAATCGTGCCCATGGGCTGTTGAAGCCGACTTATGACCAATTCACTAGATTTTCAATTTCAGGCAAGACATTCATGGAAAAACCAAAACATGGTATTTTGATCTGAAATTTTTCCCACAAAGAGATCTCATGATTATTAGAATCTCCTAAAACTTTCAGTCAAAACGAATGCTTTATCCTTGAGATATTGAATTTTCAAAACTGTTATATTTTCTGATTTTTCTGTGGTATATTATCATTTTTTTTATCATCCAATATCTTACGGATAAAGCATCCATTTTGACTGAAATTTTTAGGATATTCTAATAATCATTAGGTCTCTTCGTGGGCAAAAGGACTAGGGTGGATAAGACCATTT